CATAAGAAAGTCTCTCATGATATATCTCTCTCTTTCGATGACAAATGTATTGCTCGTAAACCAAAGGTTAAATTTCTGGGGGGTTTTCTAGATGAGAATCTCACCTGGAAACCTCACATTAGTCATGTCTGTAAAAAGATTTCTAAGTCTATCGGCATAATTTATCGAGCTCGTTTTTACTTGTTGCTAGTACTAAATTGTCATTGTACTACACGTTAATCTACCCATACCTTACCTATTGTAACACTGCTTGGTCCTCCACCTATGTTTCCAATTTAAGTCGCATATTTCTATTACAGAAACGAATTGTCAGAGTACTGACCAATTCTAATTACCGGGCGCATACTGCTCCACTGTTTAGTAAATTAAAAATACTCAATATATATCAGCTTAATTCCTTCCATATTGGCAAATTTATGTTTTCTTACCACAATCAGCTATTACCACCTTCTTTTCTCAATCTGTTTATTACCAACAATGAAATCCATGATTACAACACCAGAAATGCGAGTTCATACCGAGCTCATGCATGTAGAACAAATGTAATGCAGTTTACCATCCTATTTCAAGGACCCAAATTGTGGAATTCTCTCCCAGAGTCCGTCAAAAGTGCACAGACTATCAATTGCTTCAGGAATAGAATTTTGAAATACTAATTACGAGATGCCTAATTACGTTTTTCTTGACCTCTCCTAACTAATCATTTTTCTGATCTATATTTTCTGTTACTACTGCTCCAAGGAGACATCCTATTTACAAGCCCTATGGTTTCCGGATGCCTCCTTGCCACCGATATCTATTTTATGGTGTATACATATTGACTATTTAAAATTAACTATATTATTATCATAAAATAACTTGTATATAACTGATATCTGTGGCAAATTAAAATTATCTCTTATCTCTTATCTTATCTCTAACAACTTTGACGTGCTTTATCCCACTTGCACAACCTTGTTTTTAGCTGATTTCTCGCATGGTCAAAAATGGATGTAAGATCAGCACATTGTACTATAACTTTACAAGTGTCTCCAAAACACTGGAAATGCCATTTCAGTGTACCAAAAATAAAAAAAAACATTTCGGGTAGCTTACCACCGGACCTTCCTAATTTGGAGTACTAGTCCGTCCCCCCCCCCCCAACTTTTTGGGATGGATTGATGCCCTTGGCGTCTAGAGTCACTTGCGGCTTGGCCTCACCTGGGTTTTTGCTGGGCCCCCCCGACCAAAAATCCTGGCTACGCCTCTGCATAACGGGGCATCGCTATAAGGCAGGTGGCCCATTGACTTTCTCATTTTGCAAGAGAACTTATGATTATCAATCGCCAAAATGGTTGTTTTGTCCTATTTTATACGATAGTTATAAGTCCAAGTTTGTTTAGCCACACTAGCAGATTTATCGAGCTCGGTTTTCTCGCAATAGACCTTTCCGGTAATTACGCCCCAACTACACTGTTTTCAACTTAGGACCACCTTAAATGGAATAGATTTCAAGTTGGTTTCTCACGGGCTGTGGTCAGAGAAGCTATATAAGTACCTAGAGTATTAACTTACTTTCTTTAAAAAAGGTTTTGGTATAACTTTTATCTGGGAGAAAAATCTAAGTGCACAGATATGACAATGTAAAAATAAGAGGGAGGTTTGCAAGAGGACGCAGGAAATTCCCAATTTTTTCCTTAGATTGTTTGGGGTGGGTTCAATACTTTCTCTTATTATTCTAATTATTAATGAATAATTCATGAGTAATTAAACCAATAGCATGTAAGCATTCCGTCACAAGATGCTGTTTGGATACCGCGGTCAAACACCGTCAGACACAGCACCACAAGAGTTTAGCTGCATACGTAATTAAGATATTTGATGAAAGTCACTAGGGTTTTCATCAAATATGTTAATTACGCATGCAAAATTACTTGAATAGAATTGCTAATTACGTTATGCTTGGTTAAGAATTTTATTCAAATCAGCACGCAAACGAAAACATTCTGTTACGTCTCGATTCATTTGAGAAGCCATATAAACAACTCGAGCTCGTGTCTCACCGGGATATCCAAACACGAGAAAACAATGTATGAAAACACTCGCGCTTCGCGCTCGTGTTTTCATACATTGTTTTCTCGTGTTTGGATATCCCGGTGAAACACAAGCTCTCGTTGTTCTTATATTACATAACAAATGCATGGAATCCAAATTTATCATCATCTCATAATTATACCATAACTTATTTCTTTCTTTCTTTCTTTCTTTCTTTCTCTAACCAAAGCTGAAGGTGGAGATACAACCAGATTGGAAATAACTGGACCACCAAAAAACTGCGTCCGAGCACAATGGCTTATCAGACACCGTGTAGTAAGCTCTTTTTCGTGTCCATGATTGATATGAATTAACATTTTTCAAAATTGATACTAAAATATATTTAAATTTACAATTTAAGATCGCCTCTAAGGACAAGATTGCCAATAAGGACATTAGATATGGATTTGGAGGCAACACGCAATTTGTTTGCTTCGACTTCAAAGATGAAAATGAAAACTTTGAGTTAGTGCCAGATGGAAGTGCTCCCAAACTGGATGGCTTCATTCAAGGACCAAGATACAGAATTAAATCTGAGACTGACGATGACTCTCAGGTACTTTACATCAATGTTAATAAAACCGCAGATCTCATATTAGCTCTTTTTATTACTAAATATTAGAAACTAAAACAAAGTCGTATACATGTATTGCTATTCAATGGTGGTGAATTTATTAATTCGATTCTATGTTTCAAGCATGGATGTGCAGTTTCGCACAATTGCGGTAGTTATTATAAGTAACAGCATGGCTTGAGGGAGATTAGTGATTAAATGACTCCGTAACCCGAGGCAGGTTTGCGGAATCCCCGAGGGCAAAGCCCGAGGGAATTCCGCAAACCTGCCGAGGGTAAGGGGTCATTTAATTTATTTTAATTTTAATTTAATAAATTTATTTGGATCAATATATATATATATATATATATTTGATAACACATTTGAAAGCTAGATCCAAAACGGCAAAGTACGAACGGGACTCTTTGAAAAGTTCCCATGCAAGGCACCTTCCGGCATCCAATTATATGATTATATGTACAGTTATATACTTATATATACACATAGTATACATATACGCACGCTCACAGACAAAGCACACACAGAGACAGGTTACACACACAGACAGGTTACACACAGACGCTTAAAGGCCATTTTCCACCGCAGTCGCCCCGCACGCGCGATTTTATCATGTGAAAAATTAGTTCTACTTTCATGGCGTGTCCGCGAGCATTCAGGCGGACAAAAATGAAAGTCCTTTCCGCTCGCGCGGGCAAAGCGACTGCACTGGAAAATAGCCCCAAAGATGGCCTATTAAACACACATTTATTTTCGCTGTTCTCTGTGACAGGGACAGTCACGCACCGAGAACCAAGTACAGGGTACTTTATTTAATCACTAATCTCCCGAAAAGCCATGCTATTAGTTTGTAATAGCATAGTTGCGCTCCCATTTAAAAATGGACAAACATGCCCTACTTACAATCAGCGAATTTAAGCTAAAACATTTGCTTCTTTGCTTCTGAGATGTAAAAGCTTGTTGCACATGCGCACTTTTTACGCTTTGATCGGTTACGCATGCGCAATCTATCATTTAACGTACCACAACAAAGACGTCTATATATATATATATTAGTATAAAATTGGAGACTGCACGTGCGTAATTTAAATGATGCAACAACTCAGGGATCGGATGATAGACTATTGACGGCTCTGAGCTAACTGTTGCTGTTCTTTGCACGACAATGTGCGTGAGGCACTCGCCTAATGCGTAGTCGGCAGGGAGACAAAGGTGTAACCCTTGCCAATGGGCGATTAGAACTAATCTGATTATTAATCGACCCTGTTGAAACAAAAGAAACCCGGGCAACTATGCTATTAATATAGTAATATAATAATTTCGGAATCGATATGATCATTAATTTAGCAATATAGTAATGTAGAATTGCGTTCATTGTGTAATATTAGTCAAGCAACATAACTCCACAGTATATCGATGTATACAAAGATAGTCTAGTCAGTTCCTCTATACGTCTAGTCAGTTCCTCTATTAATTTAAATTAACAAGACCGGCGGTCTGGTCAACGCCAAAGGGTTTAAAATAGCTGAATTAAGTATAAATGTATATTTTTTATAATATTTATGATACACAGAAAAATACACGTTTGTATATCATGCTAAAGGTACTTTCAAGGTTTACATTGCATATTCCCGTGTGCAACACACACAATTAAATTTACCTAAGAAAACTACTTACTGAACATTTAAAAAAAGTAATGCATGCAAGTAACGATTTTTTGTTTCAATTGTTTTATTATTTAATAATGTCTTGTATATTCTGGTTGACCTGCAGGTAGTAATTGGATACTCTGTCTTCAACTTCAATAAGATATATTTATTTCTATACGTATAGGATCACAACATAGTGGTAACCATGCAGCACCGATTTTTATATCTTTTTTCAGGGTGAAATCAGTGACAAGACAATCACAACAATTAAAAAGTGTCTACTCACGTCATTAGAAATTTTGAACAAATCAGAGGACGAGAAACACATGATAATTGACTTGTGGTGTCATTTTGGAAAAGTCTTTGTTTCTGGCGTTGATGAAGGTAATACAATACTGAGATTCGATTAAGGTACATGAAAAAATGTGGTCATTTCCGTTGGCTGCAGAGAAGTACAGTTTTTACAAAACTTGAAACTCCTTGAAAGTCCTTGCATTTCGAAATAAAAATTCAAGGCCTTGATAGTTTTTGAATTGATGAAGAGAGCTTGAAAGTCCTTCAATTTTTGTTGCTTTAGTTTTGGAGTATTTTCTGAAATTGTATGAAATTAAAATACGTACATTTTGTTGAAATGACTCTGTCCATGTCTTACAAAGCTGTTTGAAGTTCATTAAAGTGAGAATTTCTAGCGCCTTGTTTTTAGCCCTTTTCATGACCAGATTCATGACCTTGAAAGTCTTTGAAAAGTCCTTGAATTTTACTCTTCCTGACCTGTGGAAACTCTGCAATACGTAATTCAGTGCGAATGTTTGATTATTTAATCCCAAAAGAATTCTTAATCGAAATTTTTTTTGTGTTTTCTACAGAAAATTGTGAAAATAGTATCTATTTTTTATATATACCATAAATAAATATTAATGGAATCAGTTGGAATTAAAAAATGCACATGCAGGGCACGTGTATGTGTAACAAGCTTACCAAAAATTCTGTTGTGCGAAATTAATGGCTTGATGTATACTAAAGGCTGAAAAGATCGTCTGATCTTCGCGTAGTTCGTGCTGTCTATGCATACAAATATGACATTGGACGAACTCAATTGTTACGCTATCGACATTTCTTCTTTGTAATCCATGTTTTACCATAAAATTATTAATATATGACTTATAATATAGAAAAAGCTAAGAAAATGATGACGCCAGCGGATATCAGTGAACGACTAATGCGGACAACCAGTAGTAGTACGTTAAAGAATAAAGACACGAATGGCTATTGGAAAGTTTCTTTTGAAGAAGGCGTTGATCCATTAGATGACAGTGTACTTCCAAACTTCGGCGATGAAAATCATGATTTTTTTGGTCTCAAGCTAGATCATATACAGTGGCGTTACGATTTTGGCTTTATAACTCCATCATGTACGTTTACTCGTATATTCTATATTCAAAAGTGCAGTATTTTATATCATATCCTTGTTTTATAAAAATAAAAAATTGTATTTTTTCATTGGAAAGAAAAAAATGGATCATTTTTACGCTCCTGTTATACCGATTTTTCATGAAATACTGTATTTCGACCGAAAACATTGAGCTTGCATTGGTTTTAATTAAAATTAAGCTAGCGATGATTGTAATGACCTCAAAACAGGGTTAGTCGTGTAAAACTACTCCTTGTGACCAAATAACAATTAGCAGATGTTTAAAATTTAGCTCGCTGCACTTGAATGCAGCAGAGCTATTGCTATATAGTCCGGCGCCCGTGTCTCCGTCCGTGTTCACAGTTAAGGCGAATCGGAGGTTATTAAGATGCCTCTTTTACCTTAATGTTGTATTATGTTCATTTTTAAAAATTAATATTTTTGCAAGAGTATGGAGCTTCGGTGGCGCAATTAATTGTCAGAGGTAGATTCTCGCCTTGGATTCATGACACTTACGTGAAAAGAGTCAGTCAACGTGCTTTACTAAACGTTACGGGTTTTTTTCCCAGTATGTTGACAGGGCGAGTTTGAATTAGCCCCTAACTGACCCTTTCACCGTCAATGTATTCCGTGATCAGATTGGTTAAATAATTAATAACCAATATCGGAAGTAATAATTAATAATCAATTCCGGAAATAATCGCAGAAAAGAAACAAAGTACCGAAACAAGATGGGCCCTCTGACTGACAATACGTTTTCTTTTTTAAACTGGTTACGTTAGTTAAAGTAAATACTGCATGCAGGCAAACGTTAGGTGACTCGGGCAACTATATCTTGAAATGCTGACCGAAGTATAATGTCGGGCTTATTTTGAAATTTCGGTTTATCCAAGAAAACGTCCAGGCGACCTTATTCGTGACGTAACATGCATATATTATTGAACTGCAAGTAAACTGTAAAGCTAACTTCTATCAACTTTAAGAATTGATGTAAATTGCGAAAAGCGAGGAAAATTTAGTCAACGTTGCACAAAAAATACCTTTTTTAGTCACAAGACTTCATGCAATGATTGGGATTCTACCCTAATTTTCCAATTAGTACACTTACTACATAAAATTACAGCACTAATCCATTAATCTGCAAGATTCTCCCCTTGACGGGTAAGTGCATGGTTGGCATTCAAACCTAATTTTCCGATTAGTTCTGACTGACAGTGTTTTACATCTACTGTACCTGCAGCAAAAATGAGCAGTGTCACTTTCGTATCTTGAATACAAGAATGACAAAAGTGCATGTGAACGTGCCAAAGCAAAATTGCCCCTTCATATTTTGACATGTATTTTGCACGTACTAAACTTCCGGTATTATTATTTATTGTTAGCTTGTAATCCTTGCTTTAACCCTTCAAAAACAAAAATGAATCGTTCAAGTTGGGGTCGCACCTTCTTGTTGGCCATTAGGAGCACTTTAAACACGGCGGCTATATATAAACCAGTTTTTATAATACTAGTTTGTTTCAATTGTTTGACATAAAGTACCGCTTTTCACATAAAACTTTCAAAAAACCAAATGTTTTGATCAGTTTTTTGTGTTCCTGTAATTATGTTCAATTGGCCTAGTACACAGTTGGAAAAGAAAAGCGTAAAAGGAACTGGCGCTATCTAAATGGTGACCATCATACACGGCGTCCATTTTCCCCGCTGACTTACAATTCCAGATTATCTAAAATTCAATGGCGTATATCCATGCACAACAATCCAAGATGTCGAGCAGCACTCAATTATAATGATGTCAGTCAAAATATTTCATGAACATAAGCAAGTTTTGAAAAATATTTTCAGTGTTATACCTCTTCGTTTTATAGTCGAAACATGAAAACTGCTTTTCCAACTATTGGAGCATCTCTTAAAACGAATTTCTGACCATACTGTATAATATGTTTATCCCTTAATTTACGCTCTGATAAGATATCATTTGTAATTTAGCTTAAGTTAGCCTGTAATGAACGCACACAGAAAATTTATTTACAAAAGGCGTCCGAGGCGTTAATATTCGAACAATGTACCTGAATTAGGCAGTGAGTTTATACTCATATAGCCGTTTGTAGAAACTTTAGTATTGTGATTATTACTTTTGATCCTTTGTTTTCCGTTATCTTGTTTTCTAGACAGAAACGTAAGGCTGAAAGCATGGGAAGGCTTGCCTCCTGATAGCGACGAAAAGCCACCAATTGGAGTAAAAAATATTTTAACATCAGTTGCTCTCCAGGCAGAGGAGGGCATTAAGGCTTGGATTTGTTATCCTTCGGTAACAGTTCTCAGAGGGGAAATAATGACACCAAATTCAGAGTATGACTGCAGATTGAAATTAAGGACTGGTAGGCCTATGACACTTAGAATGAAGCAGTTTACTGAATATTTAGACATTTATGTGAACTTACTTAAAGATGCTGTAAAGTCCGTTCTGCGCATATATTCTGCGCATCAACACATTCCATCAGTGGGGGAGCAACCTTTGGAATGTTGTTAATATTTCGCACCTTCCGAACTTTCTTGAATTGAATCTCTAGTCTGCATTCATTTACAAGCATAGCGAACCGGAAGAGTGTTAACAATTCAGTATAATATATATCTAATCATATTTTACAACTGTAGCACTGAGTTCAAAATGTAAACAAAGCGTTTGTTTCCATTACGGACTTTACATCATCTTTAATTACAAAGGCCAGTTGTATAACTACTTTTTAACTCCCAGTTTTGTCGTTAAATAGTGGTTAACAGTTTTAAGCACGTAGTTAAGTCAGTTGTATGCGAAAGTTCTCAGCGTTAATTTTGGAGGAATATTCCAACGTATCGCTCCTCAAAATTAATTTTGTGCCGAAAACAAATCAATCATGAATGGAGGTCAAAAGGGGCGATTTCCTTGTGTACCATCACAGGTAATTGCGGCCACAACATGACACATAAGATGAGTGAACTCATCTTAACTGAGAATAAGTAGATCGTGCATGCTCACCTATACTATATAGTTATGATGCAAGCTGATGAATTTGTTTGTTATACAGGGTGTACTGCAGTATAAAAAACACTGAACAGATTTGGACTTGTTCTCAATTTCACAAAACAGCTATTAGTATTTTGATATATTACAGTTGTATTTAACTTAAAAATTCACGGAGATATTAATCTTTAAAATCGGGAGCATATTTCTGGATGTGTCTGAAATATGCAAAAAACGGCGTATCAAATATTAATCAAGATTTGCCCGACTGAAACATGCACGATTACCAGTAAATAAATGACACTTGACAAATTGTTTATTATGAAACAAAGTATTATTATATCTACAAAATACAAGCAAGATTTATTCGTCCGAAATTCGCGTGTGTTCCGGCTAGCACGAATATATACGTTTCCTTATTTCATGAGACCACTGCATCTCGAAGGATCGTCATGGATCGTTCATAGTTCTGAATTAGGGCATGCTGTTCTAACTTCTGCAACGTTCTGAAATCTTGTTAAGAACACCCAAACTCTTTTGCCTTTTCTTAATCTTGGCAAGTTCAGAGTAAACTGAGAATTATATGAAACACAATCAAACCATATAACTCCATAAGACATAACAATTAAGCAACTCCCCAGAGACATGCAACATTTTTGGAACAAAACCTAATAAAATAGTGGCGTTGATACGGTGATGTGTATTTGCAAAAACCAATATTATTTCCTTCAATAAAGAATAATATTCATCCTGCTCTAACCGAGAAATAATCAACTCAGTCTGTTTGAACCCATTAAAAACATAAAAAAATTAGGCTATTTAAGAAAAATTTAAGCGCCTGCCTTCCATGGTCTTTCATGTACATTTAAGTTTGTGAAGACCTAATATTAAATACTTGCATAATTTCGAACGTTCATATTTCAGGAAACAATGAGCTAAGACTTACATGTAAGATGTCTAAATCTACGCCATATCCCTTACAAACGTTAACCCTAACGATAATTCGCTGAAATACAAGTTAGCCTGATATGTCATTAAGTAAACAAACGCTGGAGTTAATATTTGATATGCCGATTTTTGCTAATTTTAGCCACATCCCAAAAATGCTCCCGATTTTGAACATTAATATCTCCGTGAATTTTAAAGTAAAATACAACTGTAATATATCAAAATCTAAGTTAGTCCTTCCTCTATTTAATGCAAGTTATTTCTCTTTAAAAGCCTTACATGTTTAGAAGTTATTACGAATCAAACAGGAGTACTTTTTTTTGGGACACCCGGTATATATATATATATATATATATATATATATATATATATATATATATATATATATATATATATATATATATATATATATATATATATATATACCAAATATGTATTTAGAATCATATATGAGTAGAGTGCTCGATATACCGAAGTATAGAGCTAATAGATAAAGATAAAATAAACCTGGTTTACTTCATAAGATTTATTCACTACAAACTTGTTTCGTATGACAAGCAATTAAATATAGCATTTAAATTCACCTGATGAGTGTGGTAAGCATTCTTTGTCATACGAAACAAGTTTGTAGTGAATAAATCTTATGAAGCAAACCAGGTTTATTTTATCTTTATTTATATATATATATATATATATATATATATATATATATATATATATATATATATATATATATATATATATATATATATATATATATATATATATATATATATATATATATATATATATATATGTATATATATAAGATTAGAAGACAAACTTGAATTACTTCATATGAACTTTATTTCACTACAAATTTGTTTCGTATGACAAGACGAGTCTTGCCACACTCATCAGGTGAATTTAAATAACGCGCTATGTTGTTGCCTACGATATACTATATGTACATGCTTGAGGTCAAATATGTTATATTACAGTGTTATTTATAATCTATTTATTGCTCAACAGGAATTTGTTCCGGTGTCTACATTTTGACAATAGTTCATTTCTAGAGTTCAAGGAGCTGAGCTTAGGATAATAAATAATTAGAAATTTTTCGTGCAGGCATAAGTTGCATCGTTTTGTTTTGTTTGAGTAGCTTTTACACTTTTTCATAATGGAGTATTTTATGCTAGACTCTTTCAAATGCCAGACATATTCACTTAGTTCAGTAGCATGTTTGTATCTGGAGTTTCTGAAGGGACTGGTGTAACCATTGTACTTTGTTTTGAATTCCCCTTCTGTGTGTCCTACATAGGTCTTTCCCTCTTTTTTATCGTTTCTAGTCACAGTTGCTTGCTAAACAATGCTGCTTGTTAAGCATTTTCTGGAGAGAGGACAGGAATCTTTCTTACGGCAATTCCACTCACTACTTTTTTCAGACGTTTGATTCTTAGTTGTTTCAGTTTTGTCTTGTTTGTTGAGTATTTTCTTGTTATGACCAGAGACAATACAATGAACGTTAGGCATGCAGCTGTAGCTTAATTTCAAAGTGTTTCGATTAAATATCTTGTGTAGAGGGTGGTTAGGAGGAAAGGAATCGTCGATAGCTTGAAGAAGCTTGTATCCAGTGTTAGCGATGACATTGGAGTTGTATGGGGGGTTGAACCATATTATATTTCTGCTTCTAGATCGTTTAGGTTTGGGTGGTTGGAGAATGTAATCAAGCTTGTAGTCGTAACCGCTTTTTTGTAGTACTTCTTGATATGGGGGAATGGCGTAATCAAATGATTGGTTATCGGATGATATGTTGGATAGTCTATTGTTTATGGCTTGCGGTATTGATCGTAATATTGATGGTGGGTGGTTACTTTCGCGGTTTACGTATTGCGGTTTGTTTCGGGGTTTCATGTAAGGCTTGTATGATGCGGATCGTAGGTCAAGTGTGATGTCTAGGTAGTTGACGCATTTCTTGTTTGCTTCGATAGTAAGTTTTAGGTTGTGATCACTGAAGACTTTGCAAATGTGTATTTTGATGTTCTCTGTTTCTCTCGGTGTTTTGTTAAATGCTGCAAGACCGTCATCTCTGTAGAGGTTGATATCATTGCCGTACTCTGGTGCAAGCTTTGACAGCAGATATGAGCCTACTAACTCACATGTTTCGTCACCATCAAAGCTTCCCATTGTAACGTCAAAGAGTGATTTTGTTGTTTTCTTGCACCAAGATGTATTTCTGCTAAAAAGTAGTGATCTGTTTGCTTGCATGATGATCTTTTTCTCGTTGTCGGTTATAGTATCGTATTGCGAAGCGAACGTTATGGCTTCATTGAGTAATTCTTCAGAAATAGATGGGTAGAAATCTACTACATCGAAGGTTATGAAAGATCGGGTGGGTTTATTTGGCATGTTTTTTAACCATGTGATCACAGAGTCGGTATTCTTCCTTTGGTTCAGGTTGGTATGTTTTAGGATTTGGGAGTTGATTCTCTGAAGGATTTTTTTGCTGATAATTCCGATTTCTGATTTTGAAGGATTTATCAGTCTGCAGGTGGGATTGTTGTGAAAGTTGGGTTTATGATCTTTTAATGTGATAAGACTGTCCTTTGTCGCTAACGAGTCAATACGATCATCAAGGCCGAGTTTTTCC